GAAGCCATTCCTATGAATGGCGATGTGATGCTCTGACAGTGACAGTGATACAGGTTGCAGGTCATGTACGTTAGAAGCAAGTTATCATCTCTTTAGAGCACTTTGGCTGTATTTTGGATTGTTGTCAGACACTCATATGATTCCTTATTTGTAGGGACCAGAGGAGATTCACCAGAGTTAAGTTCTTGGGAAAAAGCCAAATGGGAAAGAGAATATACCCTGAATAGTTAAAAGCAAGTTGGGGAGTGAGAGTGACTTTGTAACCCAGAGGTAAGGCAAGGGGTTAGATGCTATGACCCAGAAATCAAGATTGGTCTAAAAGTGGAGTTTGAAGCAATTTAGGGTGGTTCATTGTTGGTTCCAGTTAACAAAGTGGGTGGGGCTAATTTAAAATTCTAGCAAATTATGGCCCTGACTTGCTAGCTCAGCTGGTTAGAGCATAGTTCCAATAAATCAAGGTTGCAAATTTGATCCCAGTCAGGCTACACAAAAACATCAAGAAATGAACGCATAAATAAATGGAACAATAAATTGATGTTTCTCTCTCTCCCCTAAAAAATCAATAAAAAATAAAATGCTAGCAAATTATAAACTTTTCTTTAGGTTTCTAAAAACAACATTGGAAAGAAATTATTACACAATAGAAGAGAGCCTATGTGTAGAGTACAGGAAGTAAGAACAAACTGCCTTGTTAGCTATTCTATTCTCAAATGTATAAATGTAAATTAGAATCTCAGGTTTGGACTGAGGCTGAGGAGAATTTACATATGTGACTTAGAAGTACTTATCAATATATTATGTACATTTTGTACCAAAATACATTTCCAATTATATAATAAAAGATTCACTAAACAGAAAAGTTGGTTTATAGAAACTTTTCATATATTACATTGTATAAATTATATACCTTCATTATTATTTCATAAAGAATATAATGATCACCCCTAACCTGTTTGGCTCAGTGGATAGAGTGTCGGCTTGTGGTCTGAAAGGTCCCAGGTTTGATTCCAGTCAAGGGCATGTACCTTGGATGTGGGTACATCCCCAGTAGGAGGTGTGCAAGAGGCAGCTGATCGGTGTTTCTTTTTCATCAATGTTTCTAACTCTATCCTTCTCCCTTCCTCTCTGTAAAAAACAAAATCAATATATTTTTTAAAAAAGAATGTAATGATCAGTAAAGCAGTGAGCTATCAATTCAACAAGCAAATAAACAACTTTGATCTGAAGGATTCACAGTATTTTCTTTATAACAGAAACTAACTTATTTTTGCATATGAAAAAGGTTTTTTGGTTTTTTTTTTTACCAAATGGCAAATAACTAATCTTTTATGGATCTAATTCCGAAATTCTTATTTTTTTCCCTTGGGTTGACTTTAAAAATTTCATTTTGTCTGTGTTCACATATTGCAACATAATCAAATAATACATTTTCAAGTTTAGGTTCAGTAATAAATGAATAAATAAAATTCCACATTGGTTAATACTAAACTAAGGCCATATATACAAAAGCTTTTGTACTACATTCTCTAGATATTAGTAAGTGTATCATATTATGCTGGATTCTTTAGGTGATGGTACATCAAAGAGAGAGAGAGAAAGAGAAAGAACAGAAAAAAATTCACACAAAGCTTGGTTATTAGAGGATATCTGTAATGTAATTAAGCTTTGAAAAAGATATCAACTGAATACTCAAAATGAACAAATGATTTGCTGCAACAAAGAAAAACAATTAGCAAATTAATATCGTTTAATTTTCACTTCTATTTTAAAGCTTAGGTTGTTTTAAAGGTACTAAAAAGTATCATCACACCCCAATCTACTTAGAGGCCATTAGGAAATGAAAATATTTGCATTTCTCAATTTCTTCTTATGCTTAGTTGTGTTTTTTGGTGTTTTTGTGTGTGTGTGTGTGTGTGTGTGTGTGTGTGTGTGTTTATGTGTTTACTGATTTCAGAGAGGAAGGGAGAGGGAGAAAGAGAGAAAAACATCAGTGATGAGAAAGAATCGCTGATCAGCTGCCTCCTGCATGCCCCCTACTGGGAATGTAGCCCAAAACCTGGACATGTACCCTGGCCCATAATTGATCCCAGGACCCTTCAGTCTGCAGGCCAACACTAGCTACACCAGCCTGGGCTGCTTAAAATTTTAAGTTCACTCAGCTATTAAGTAAGGTGACCAGATGTCCCGCTTTTGGGGGAACAATCCTGATTAGGGACTTTTTTTAAACGCCGTGGGACAAATTGTTAAAAATTGGGACTGTTCCACCAAAAGCAGGATGTCTGGTCACCTTACTATTAAAGTAACATGAACTACTGGCTTTTTTGTTTGATTTCATAGAGGAAGGGAGAGGAAGAGAGAGCTAGACACATCAATGATGAGAGATGTTTCATCATTGGGGATTGAGCCCTAAACAAAACCCAGGCATGTGCCCTAACCAGGAATCAAACATTGACCTCCTGGCTCATAGGTTGACATGGAACCACTGAGCCACACCTGATGAGGAACTTAAGTGTTCTTTTTTTAAATGTTTTGGCTGTTCTGGGGAAAAAAACGTAGGCCTTCAGTATTGTTAGTTTAATAACAACATTTAAAAAATTCTCCTTAAAAATCCAAGTAGGTGGCAATTTAAGAGTACCTCCAAAGGGGGGAGAAAAAAGGGCACTTCTAATTAGATGGACCCAGAACTAGGAAGTAGACCTGGGGAAGAAAAGCTAAACTCGGTGAAATTTGCATACATTAATAGCCCAGGTGGGTTTTTGACAGGTAGCCTTAGGACTGATATCTAACTACCTATGTTTTATTAATAAACTATTATTTTGTCTGTTAATTTTATATCTTGGAGTGATTGCCTAGAGATAGCATAATTCCCACCAAACTCTAGCTCAAATGAAAACTTGAGATACCAATCTATAACCCATAGCACTTTTAAGAGCTACCAAATAGAACATAACATTCTTGGAAAAGAGTAAGACTAAGCTGTTTTTCTAGGTAGAAAAAGTAGTTGACAAAGCAACCCACAAATTCCTATCTTTTGTTCTAAGAGATGTAGTCTGGAGGCTTTTAAGTGAATAGGAATTTTTGGATTTTAGAACTAACAGAATTCTTCATCACCTAACACCATCATGTTCAAAAGTCTGACATTACCATTGATGCATTTTATGCATATTACGCACATTTTCTATTTCTATAATATTTCAGGGGAAATATTTTTATCCTAACAGGTTCTATTGCTGACCTAGTAATTGTAGTTCAGAAAATTCAGTCTAACAGGCAGGTAGTTTCCTAGTCACATTTTACTCAATTATTTTGTTTCTCAACAAGATAGGCTTTCGATATAGTTTACTGGAGAAAAAGAAAAGCTTAATTGTTCACCTCTGTATCTGCCACATCTAGAATAATGCTTGACACAGTCCAGGAGCATAAAATTTGTTGAAGAAATCCTGATCCTGTTGCTGAGTAAGAAACTCTTTGGGGACTCAGAATTGAAGGACCTTAAAGTTTCAGTCAATGGTAAAGTGGTAAAGTGTTTCTTGTTTTGCCTCTATGCTCTGAAAAATAGATGAAAATAGTGGAGTGTTTAAAATATCAATTGGTGGAGATTGTAAATAGCTCAAAAGACAGTAGTATTTGGGGGTGGAGGGGAGAGGAGGGAAGTTAAGGTGAAGGGATTAAGAAGTACAAATTGGTAGTCTTGCAGATTATCCTGCAGATATAAAACACAGCACAGGTAGGTAATACAGTCAATAATATTGTAATAACTATGTATCGTGCCAGACGAGTACTAGACTTATAGTAGGGGATCACTTCATATATAAAGGTCTAACCGCTGTGCTATACACCTGAAACTAATATAATATTGAATGTCAACTGTAATAGAAAAAAAAAATATTGAAGACATCTCCCTCTCCCTTCTTCTCTGTAAAAAAATCAATATATATATATTTTAAAATATTGAAGACATTAGTATTCGTTACAAATCGTGTGTAGTGTGTCATAAAGTTAGTTACGAAGTCTTTTGTGTGTTGATAAATTATATCTTTTTTTTAAACACGTGACCTCAAAAGATGGTTTAAAATGTCACTATCGTGATTGTATCGATAGTGCCTAGGACCGATGCTCAAAATAGGTATTTAATAAATACCGGTTGAATTAACTGTGTACTATTAACATTCCTTGTTAACTCCAGAAGCAGTTGAGTCCTTACCCACCCTTAGAAAGCGACGGAGCAGAGACAGAAATCCCTTAAAAGGTCAGGACTAGTAACAGAGCTGAGCTAAGCTCCTGGGCAACACCGGACGACAGGCTTAAAGCCTTGAAGGAAACGGAAGAAAGAGAGCTCAAAAGACGTGTAAGAGAAAAACAAAACAAAGTAAAAAAAAAACAAACAAAACAAAACAGGCTTAAGAGGAAAGACGTTTCCCTGGCGGCGGCTGGCAGGAAGCCAGCGCGATTGCCGCAGGTCGACCCCCGTCACCAGGCGGCACCTCGCTGAGGTCGGGCTGGGCGTCGGGACCACCCACGCCCCTGGCTCTGGGGACCCCCCTTTTAGGAAGTTCTGATCAATACCGACATGTCCAAGTTCACCCGAGTCCCTTTGGGAAATCACAAGCACTAAATCCACAACCGATCCTCCACTCCATTCAAATAACGCAGCCAATAGGAATACCCCGCCCAGCGCCAACGACTCAAGAGGAGCTGTGACAGCGCAGGAAGCAAAACTGCCCCGAGAGAGCCGCCCCGACAGCCCGGCGGTTGTGGCCTCCGGAACCTCAGGAGCCCTCAGCCGTGCCGGGCAACCTTCCTGCCCCGTCCCCGCCCTGTCAGGTCCGTCCCAGCCCCCGCGGCCCGGGCGGCCGGGCCACACCCGCTTCCCTCCGGTGGCCGCCGCCCCCGCCCGTTCGCGGCAGCGCTCTCTCTCTCCTCTCTCTCTTCCTGGGGCGGGCGCGGGCCGAGTGCGCATGCGCGGCGGCCGCGGGCGCCTCCCTGCCCGGATCTCGCGAAGTTACGCTCCTCGGGCCGCCGGTGACGGACGGGCGGCCGGCCGGGGGCGGGAGGGCTCCGCGGCTAGAAAGGGAGGTCCGCTGGGCCGGGCGCGCCGCCCCAGTGCTCTGTGGGATACTGGAAGTCTCGAGCGTCGCCTCCCGGCTCGCAGCCCGCCTCCGGCCCGCACTCGCAGGGGCAGTCAGACACACACACACACCACCACCCCCCTCCCCTGCCTCCCCTCGCTCCCCTCGCCGCCTCCCCCTTCCTCCTCCCGATAAGAAGACCCGGCGGCGGCGGCAGGAGAGGGGATGAAGATGGCGGACGCGAAGCAGAAGCGGAACGAGCAGCTGAAGCGCTGGATCGGCTCCGAGACGGACCTCGAGCCTCCCGTGGTGAAGCGCCAGAAGACCAAGGTGAAGTTCGACGATGGCGCCGTCTTCCTGGCCGCTTGTTCCAGCGGCGACACGGACGAGGTGCTCAAGCTGCTGCACCGCGGCGCCGACATCAATTACGCCAATGTGGACGGGCTCACCGCCCTGCACCAGGTCTGTGCGCCCCGCCGCCCCTGCGCCGACCCCGCGGGCCCTCGCTCTCCCGCCCGGGGCCGGGCCTCCCCTCCGCTCCGGGCCTCCCGAGGCCGGGGCCGGCTGTGGACGGACGGACAGAGTGGGAGGGAGGGAGGGAGGGAGAGGACTTGGCGGCGGGAGGGCGCCGGGCTGGAGGCCCCTTCGGACCGGTTGGTGGCGGTGGAGTTGGAAGCGGCGGATTTCCGGGGCCGAGGGGAAAGGGGACCGTGGTCGGCTGGGGGGCACCCCCCAGGGCCACCTGTGGGCGTGTTTCAGGGATTGGGGATCCGGACCGGGAGGGGTGGGTGTAGTGTGGCTGTGCCCGGGGCCCGCTGTGGCAGGGATAGGCTAGGGACCATGGGAGATGCTGCGGGAAAAGGACCAACAGGGCGCGTTAGGGACCCTGGGCAGTGGGGACGTCTTTGGCATTTTAGGGGCATCGGATTTGTTGTAGGACTTTTTGTAGGACTTGATTACAAATGATGATGACGACGACCACGATGATGATGATAATGATGATGATGATGATAGTGATAGTAATCAACAGCCCTAAGCCTAGAGCCCCGAGCGGACGATTTCCTGTTTTGTGCTTTATTGCTCTGGGTCACTGGGGAGGGGGAAACGGGGTGTAATGAGCTGATCTGCACCGGTGAACGGGAGGGGACGGGGACGGGGGCGTTCACAGGGGCATGCCCACCGCCGCCGGACCCCAAAGTATTGAATGAAGAGTTTTGCCGCAGCGTCAGGGATCCTCGAGCCCCAGGTCCCCGGGCTGTGCGCCGCGTTTAGAAAGAGAAGAATAAACGCCGGGCACTCTTTTCACAGCCAGTTTACCAGGCCCTGATTTTTTATTTTGTATTTTTTTATTTTTATTTGTGTGTGTGTGTGTGTGTGTGTGGAGGTGGGAAGCTGGTCACAAACTTTTCTCAAAATGGATGCTTTGTGCATGTTAAAGTTTTATAGTAGTCTGATTGGGATCTCTCAATGTTAGCCAAATAAGGAGAAACTATTGGCAATCCGGAGATAATGTTCCTTTGCCTTTAACAGGCCAAAAGCAACACAACCTCTTAGGGTTCTGCATAAAAAGAACAATTTTTAGTCGTGGTAATAGGTGACAAGACCAGACTCTTTCCATTTTCTCAGTGGGCAACTCCGGAGTTACTAGAGAACGACTTTACAGTAAAGCCTCCCCTTAACCTTGAAAAGACTTGCACAGTGTCTCAAAGTTGCCTTGATTGTATGGATTGTAGCTTTGTTTAGATTGATATTGTAACAGAAACTTGTTTGGGAGGTTGAAAGTTAAGACTTTATTTTTTATGTATGTTACCTTGCTGCCTTTTTCAGAGAGGTGTGTGGTGGCGTTTTTTTCCTTTTACTTCCTGTTCAATGAATGACCATTGCTTTACGTTTAATTGAATTCTAATATCAAACTTGGCTTATAGCCTTTGTTTACAAAGTTTACTGGATGAACCGAAATGACTGACAAATTACAGGACAAATCTGGAATTCAGAATGTGGCACCCTGTAAAAATATACCAAGATTTTAAAATCTTTCTCTTTCATTAATTCAGGGTCTGTAATACATATTTGGCTGAAGTTTATTTTAAGGCATAACATAATTCTAAATTCTAAAAACATGGTGTTGAGAGTGAAAATAGGTTTGATAATATAATTATACGCAATGAATCTTTTCACATTTCTTTCAAGTGTGATTTATACATTTTAATTTGGAATTGATTCTGAAAGACAGTTATTGTATGCCTGAGGTCAGGATACAATTGATAATGGTTTACATCAATATGCTTCATTAAAATTGTCAAATAGAAATGTAAAGTTATTACTGTGGTGGAGGAATCCAATTTGTGAAGAAAATTTTCTAATATTGGCTTAGGCAGGCAGAGAAAAACATGTAACAGACTTCTTAAAGTTTTTATTTTATTTCCTCTCAATTTGGACATGGTGCAAGAATTATCAGACTTATCAGTGTCTTTCCTAATAACTGACTTCAGTGGTTAGTTTGGCATTATGGAGGTTTAGTTTTTATTGGGTATTTTGTTTTAGCTGACAAGCGGTTAAGCAGAAGTTTCCAAGTTTATACATAATCATTTGCATACACTTTTTTTTGTTAATTTATCTGCATATTCCTTAAATCAGAGAAGCCAAGATCTTTAAAATATCAAGCATTAAAATATTTACTACCTTTTCACTCTCATTACTCCTTTATTAAGTCTTCTACCTTTTCCCCCATTGTGATTGTGAGTGCAAGGAGTTTGCCTGTGGAATTTAGGATAACAGATTGCAGATAGTGAGAGGTGATAATAAGACTCATTTAAATAAAAGAATTACAAGAAAATGTTAAGCTTTTAAGGGATCTCTTGATTACTACTTGTTTTAAATTCTTAAATTATAAAACCTAAAGTTGACCCACTGATTCATTTAATAGTCCTTAAAGTGTTCTTTTTTTATCTAGCTTCTAGAAAGATCATAAAATACTTTAAATGTTTTTACTAGATTAATTATTGGTTAATGTTTTGAAATATTCATTTACTTTTCTGGTTCTGATCAAGTGTCCTAAATTTCACTATTATGAGAAAAGTTTTAGGGATATCACAACACACAAATATACTTCTTAATATAATATTTGCCTCCATATTTTAATATAAGCAGATTATATTTAAAAGTTTATTAATTAGTTAAATGTTTCTTAATTAATTGGTTAAAAGTTACAAAAGATAATCAATTTTTGGCTCTTCTTTTTGTATAGAAATATGCCATGCAGCCCAGGCCAGTGTGGCTTAGTTGGTTGGAGCTTGCTCCCCTGCCGCGTAAGGTCATGGGTTCAATCCCTGTTAGGCACATACCTGGTCCATCCTTAGAAATACAGGAGGCAACTGATTCATGTATCTCTCTAACATAGTTGTTTCTCACTCTGTCTCTCTCTCTCTGCCTCTCCCCTCTTCATCCTCCTCTAAAATCAATTTTAAAAAGAAATATATCATGCCTGTAGGGGGGGAAAAGCGGTGTTTCTTGTCAAATTTGCTATCTTGGTCTCTAGAATAGCCCACTCCTCCACAGCTAGAAAACTTATGGAACTAATGATATAAACATATAATTTTCTAGAACTGAGGTCTAGAGTATATTTTCATTTCTACAGTCAGCGATAATCAGCTCTAATTTTATAGCTACCTGGTAGTTTTACACTTACGTGATTTATACTTCAGTTTACTTTATAAAGATTTTAGGAGAGAAATATTAGAGTTTTCTATAGAATATTTTATTGTCAATTCTTACTAATATTGGTGTGCATAAAAGGCAGGACTGAGATTTCTTCCGATAAATTTTAGTATAGCCTTTTGTTTTTTAACCTTAAAATTTTATCTACTTGCTCTGTGCCATGGGCTTCTAAGTCAGTTTCCATTTCTCATATTTCTTCAGTCCTCCAATCCCTCATTTCCATTTTTCTACTGATGATGAAGTATTGATTTATTATTCAATTTAGTGTGATTTTATATTTAAAAATATATCTTTAGGTTGTAATATAGTAAATAGAAGTTCATCCTTTTGCCATAGAATAATGAGTACTATACTTTATTTACCTTAGTGATTTCTTCAAAGAATCTTATCAATTCAACCTGAAATTAAAACTTTTATCAATTCAACCTGAAATTAAACTTTTCTTTCTTCACCAAGTTTGCTCTTCTCATTGATATCACTTTTTGTTAATAATGTCATTAAATCACTTTGTGATTAAAAGAATGTGCCATTTAAATTATTTTCTCTACATAACATTCTTGATAGGAAGCTTTGACATCTAGATCAATTTTTAAACATTTTAATTATTGTTTCTTCCTTTCCTTGTCTTCATATATCCAATCGGTCTTCTTCACACTTGCCTTTGCATCATTTCTTTTCCTTGCCATTCTCACTATCAACCTACTTTATGTCTTTATTATTTTTATCCCTAGAGTATAGTAATAGCTAATTGCTTTCCCCATATCTTCTCTCCCTGGTCCATCCAGCATTCATATTGTATCTGACTAATCTTTTAACGATACTACTTTTTGTCATTCTTTAAATTCAGATTTAAAATTTTTTAACTTATACCTGATATATTTCCATTGTGTTATGATTTTTACTCTTTTTTTATTTCCATGCCTGTGGTCATATTTTTCTGCCACTAGAATATCCTCCCTATCCTCTTTTGCCAGTCAAAATCCTATTCATTCATGAAGGTTCATCTCACTTGCCAGCCAGAAGGGATCTTACTGAATAGTGTTTGTAAGTTTGTCTTTTCTGGATGACTATAAGGACCCAGTCTCCACATTTTGTATTTCCAGAGGCTGGCACATAGTAGATGCTCACTAAAAATTTATTGAATTGTATTTTTTGCCTCAAGTAGTAAATACGAAGTTTATTTGTATGTCATGAGGTAAATCTTTAAAACCTTCACATCCAGAGTATTGTTCTTGCACTTAGAAGTTGTATTTTTATAAATAAATGAATAACTTTGTGTAGATCTTTTGTACATATTTTTATTATCTTGTGATTTTTTTGCATTTCTTAATATTAACCTTCTTCCTATTAAAAAATTCTAAACCTGTTTAAATCTTGTTTAAGTGATAGAAAAATTTCAGTTGAGTTATTAATTTGCTACCTTCTTTATAAGGATCTGAACTAGATCCTTTAGAAGAATACAAAGTAGAAATACTGTAGAATCATGTTCTATGTGATTATAATTTTAAAATTCTAACGTTATACTTTTCAATACAGACATGCAATATGTTTAGTATTAAATACTTTTGCCCTTAAATTTTATTAACTTCTAAAGAAGCCATTTGAAGGTTTTTGTACTCCCGTCTTGTCAGTAAAAGGAATACTTTTGTTGCAGTCTTTTCTTAAGTGTTTAATCTTCTCAGCCAATCCATTTTCACTGGACTGTAATCTGAAATGTAACTCTCTTTTTAAAAGTATTCTAATAG